CAAAGAGAGTAGTAGTCCTGAGTAGAGAGAATAAAGGATAAGTCAATCAGGAGACACCCCTTAATAACCAAAAGCTACCGCAAAGTTAAGTTTCAGTCCCTGTGACCTAAAACCTCCTTTTAAATCAAGCCTTGAGAGGGTCTGAGTGTGGCTGGGTGTGGTTAGATGTGTGGAGCAGAGCAAGGACAGAGCAGACATGAGAGTTGGTGGGAATTCTACCAAGTGTGCTGATCTTGAGAAGCTTTCACCAAGGCTGCTGTAAAGCTAAAGTTTGCATCAGAACCACTGACTGATTTTCTTGGTAACAGGGGAGGAGGAAGACGAAAGCAGACCTAAGTTACGCTTCATAGAACAAGACTTACTAAAAGCCTTATTTTTACATTTTTCTTTCCCCAAATCCCATACATCACGTCTCTTCCTCCCTTCTTCATATAAAATTTCAAAAATCATTTCAATATCTTGCTTGTAGCTCTGTCTTCCTTTCTCTCCCTTTAGTATGTTTTTTCTTCCACTACAGTCTCTTCACATCCTTTCTTATGCAAGTGATTCTTGTCTCTTTTTCATAGCTATGATGCCTTATAATTTGTTACAATTTGCTAGGTATTTCACATGCATTATCTCACTTAATCCATACAGCAATCTTATTCTCCCTATTCTTAGATAAAGAAACTGAGGCTTCAAGATGTCGAGTGACTTGCCCAAAGTCTCACAGCTTCTGAGTTCTAAAGCTGGGACAAGATCTCAGTTGTATCTAGGTGTGGCCAAGGCTGCCAGGCCCATGTTCTTAGCTTCTCTCCTGTGATATTTGCCAATTATAGAACTTTTGAAAGAAACACAAAAGTAGAAATATGCTTTTTAAAATACCCATAATCTCCACATCCACCTAGAATGAGAGCTGAAACTTTATCTTTCCTTCCAGTATTTTTTAATGTATAATGAACAGGAATTTCAAAATTTTAACACAAGCATTTGGTGATTATTTTTGATGAATTAATATCCTTAAAAAATATATAAAACCACAAATCATTTTATAGCAAAATATACTTTAATACCTTTGACAGAGAGTAGCTATTACATGTTATTTTAAATTATATCTTCAAAATGGAACAAATAATTTGTTAGGTATTATTTGACTTTTCAGTGATACTATATACTGTTCCAGAATACTTCCTTGTTTAGTGCAAAATTTAGATGTGATTCTGTGGACATGTTAATGATGAAATGTCCTTTTTGTTTCTAAGATATTTTCTGCAAGGAAATGTACCAGAATGTCCAAAAGAAATGAGACTAGGAGAGGATTAACCTTTTAATTTTGTGGGAAATTCTGGTCCACAACGAATACTGTAGACTAATATCTGAAACAGCAAGCACTGAAAGAGTGAAACCACCAAAGTAATTACATGGGTAGAGTCGGGAGGAAATGTGCATGTACATGACTTTCTAATACCCTGCCTCAGAAATATGATAGAGGCTGCACTTTTTACTGGGACAAAGTATTGTTTGAGTTTGAAGCTAGTGATATAGTTATATGTTTCAAAATGAACGTAAGTGGTGGCTTTACTCACAAAGCTTATCTGCTTGTAGAGAAAGCAAATTAATTTAAAATAGCTATGACCCTCTGGCCAAATGCTATCTCAAATGATTGGGAGGCAGAGAAGTTGAGTGCCCTAGTTTGGCTTGATATTCTTTTCTTTCTATTTTAAGAATTTGAATATAAACTCCTCCCCTCACACTCCCATTTTTTTTTTTTAATCTTAAATGATCAACTCTTGGTAACTTTGTATTAGCGTAGGCTTCAGAAAAAGAGAAAATCAGGTTGGAATGATGTCTCTGCCCACACCAACACTGTGACTTGTCAGTAAAATTCCATTGCCTGTGAAACGAGAATCAATGCTCCATAAATGGTTTGACTTAATTACGAGCGAGTAAGTGAAGTGACTAGAATGCTGTGGCACCTAATAGGTCCTCTAAAAATTTCAATTTCCATCCTGTTCACCTTTCAACAAATCCTTGAGCATAACATCTTTGACTCACCTATCAATAGCTGCATCTCTCAGATGTATGGTATGTTACAATTTACACAACCATCCGTATTCGTTATCTGTCTGGTTACTCCTTTCGCTAACCCTAGACATGCTTTTACTCTCTTTTCATAGGAAATTAAAGTTCAAAGGGATGAAGTGATCTGACCATGGTCACACAGCTGATACACAGCTGGGACTCAAATCCAGGCCTCCTAACTACTAGTCCAGTGCCCTTCTCAGTGCACTGAAGCTGCCTACTTCATCCACATGTTCAGGCAAAAACATCTGATTTAGACTGTAATTTCCTCACCCCAGCAATCGACAATTAAGGATTCCACTGTATACAAAAGGAAAAAATTTAGTAGAGTTTGAATAGATATAGCATCCAGAATTTTTTTAATGTCAGCCACTCCCTTCTATGGAAAGCAATGTTTTAAGATATGATTAGTATTCTGAGCATTGGGTGATGGTAAACATTATGTTTTTGCATTATCATGAGATGACAAAATTACCCACTCTCAAAGGACCAGCTGCTGCAGGGTGGCTGGCACCCGTGATGCCTACATTCTCAAAACTATCTTAATTGGTAGTTTTGCGTGATTTTTTTTTAGTCAGTCAGAGGAAATGTATGTGTAAACCTATTAAAGCCATAGCATCTGTTATAATGAAATGACATCACTGAATCTTACTAAGTGAAAAAATGTTCCATCTCAGGATTTTGAAGCTATTCAGGGTTCTCATGAGACAAGAGTTCCTATAACTCAGCTCCTCAAACAAGTATAGAAAAGTTATGGACAAAAATGACAGGAAAATTCTTCCCATACTTTTTGTTTAATATTTCCACTACCATATTATAATTTTGAATTGATGTGCAGAACGTACATGAAAGTGCTCATCACATTAGATGTGTGGTCCTAAGAGGAAAGACCCCACATTTTGATATAGGAAGACCAGAAATCGTATCCAATCTCTACCCAAATTGCCGACAGTTTTAGACACAGAATTGAACCACTTGCAACAATTCCCCTTTCTGTAATGTGGATAAAAAGTCTTATTCCACAAGATTATGAGAAGGACCCAATAGTAAGAATATTATAAATCAACAAATTTTGCACTGCTACCAATGACAACAATTTATTAGGGGCTTATTGCATACCAGGCTCTGTGCTAAGGATTTACATGTATATTTTCTCACTTAACCTTCCCCCAAAGTCTTTATAGTAGGTATTACTATTATATGTATTTTACAGTTGAGAATATGGAGGCTGAGAGGTTAAGAAAATTATCAGTGTTTATAAATTTAGGAAACAAAGGGCCCAATAATTAAACTTAGACTTATTCTTTCATTCATTTAATAAATATTTGCTAAGGAATAGATCTCCTGAACAAAGTCAGGCACTGTTTGGAAGAAGGAAATGGAGAATAGAAGGTGAGTAAGCAACCAGTCATTTTCACTTTATCCTGGCCACTGTGTGGAGAATAGATTGAAAGTTGACAAGAGAGGACAGAGAGAGTAGGTAGGAGACTGTGGAAGTAATCCAGGTGAGAGATGGTGCTGACTTCAACTAGGGTGGTAGCAATGGAGAGGAAGAAACCTGGATGGATTGCAGATGTACTTTGTACATAGAGCTGATTGTGTGGTGGTGGAGGGAGAGAGGAGTTAAGCAAGAGTAGCTCCTTATTTTTCTCTCTGAGCAACATGGTGACGTGAGATTGGGAACACTAGAATGGATGTGCAGAGTGAGGGAAAGACATCTTTCTAGTCTCGAGCCACATACTCTTAACCATTATTAATAGTATCTCTATCATCATGAACATAAAAGAGGTTTGAATTCCATGGCCACATAACTATAAACTACCTGGGAAGCTTTATGGAAAAGTCACATTATTCCTTCCCGTAAGACAAATGGCAAAAAGGAAAGTTTAATGTAGAACTTGTCATAATTCCTGGTTTTCAAAATAAGTACCTAGGGCAAGAATGGTCTGAGATTTTCTTTGAACTTTGTGAAATCTGAACTTCAAAACATATAATATGGGGCTGGCTCCGTGGCCGAGTGGTTAAGTTCACGCGCTCCACTGCGGTGGCCCTGGGTTCGGATCCTGGGCAGTGGACATGGCACCGCTCGTCAGGCCACATTGAGCTGGCATCCCACATCCCACAACTAGAAGGACCTGCAACTAAGATATACAACTATGTACAAGGCCGGGGGGGGGGGGGGGGGTGGGCGGAGAATAAAACAGGAAAAAATAAAAATACAAAAAGATTGGCAACAGTTGTTAACCCAGGTGCCAATCCTTAGAAAAAAAAACAAGGAAGATTGGCAACAGTTGTTAGCCCAGGTACCAATCTTAGAAAAAAAAAAACCTATAATACTCTGAGACAAATTTGAGGAAAAACAAACACTGGAAGATAATTTGCTAGAAAGGTAACAGGTTTATTTTTGATGATCGAGTCATATTATTGTTTTTCTTTCTATATTGTTATATTTTTTAGATTTTCTAAAATAGTTGCATATTACTTTTATAACTAGTAAATTAAGGATTCAAGAAAAATTAAGCTATAAAGTTACATTTGCTATGTCTGTATAGACCATGGTAGTAAGTTCTGAGAACCACTCAAATTGTAACCCTCAGGCAAACCAATTAAAACCAATCAAAATATTGATGTAACTGACAGAGACCTTAAAATTTGTCTCCTTGTAACTACACCGTATGTAATGCAGTCCCAGTTAGAGTGAACTGGAATACAGGATGGGACCAGACCAGTAGGGTGGTCAATTTGGGAAGGCTGGGAAGGCTGAGGAGTTTAAGGTTTTCTTGATTTGCTTCATTTGAAGTGTTCCTTCCAAATGTCAACATTTTTAAATTGCTTATCCTCTTTGCTTCTCCATATCTTAAGGTCAGATCATTATAATAATATTCTTTAAGAAACCCTCCCAGCCACTCCTGACCTTTACGTCTTTTCCTGTCTTTCAGGGTCAACGATTGTATCTTGCGGGTGAACGAGGTCGACGTGTCAGAGGTTTCCCACAGTAAAGCAGTGGAGGCCCTCAAAGAAGCGGGGTCTATCGTTCGGCTGTACGTCCGCAGAAGACGACCCATTTTGGAGACTGTTGTGGAAATCAAACTGTTCAAAGGGCCTAAAGGTAATACAAACACAAATGGCTCACAATCAGACACCAATGAAAAATCGTTTGGCGGCAATTTATGCTGTAACCACCAATGATATACTCTCTTCTTTTATCTTCTGACTTTCAGTGCTTACCAAGAGATTTGAAATCCTGCAACAGTGGTTTTTACAGAAGGTCAAGGAAATCAATACTCAAAATATGAACTCAGATAAGGAAAGGATAGATTTATGTAGGAATATCCTTATAAACAATAATAACCACCCTTTATATTTTTCTATAAATTTTTAATCTTACTGAATCATCATGATGTGCCTGGCATATTAATACTTTCTAATTTTTCAGATATAAATAGTAATCCCTCTCATTTGGTAAAATAGTAATATGAAGAATAATAATTAGTCTGTCCTAAAATAACAAGGGTCATATTTTTTATAACACTATTGTGATTTGTTTTGATTTTGTAATACTCTTATGTGTTGTGCCCAATAAGTACTACATAACATCTTATACTTGCAATAGTCAAAATAAGTTAAAATTTATTTTCTTGAAATGTTCACAAATCTCTTGAGGTAACTACAGTTACCCCGGGGAGTCACATAAACAGTGAGATGACTCATTATACTAATTTTTAAGAATAATCCTTTGAGCTCTGCTCTTCAGAATGGTGACCTTTAATATTAGCTTAACAGTATTTCAATTTTTTTAGAAAAATCTAATAGTTGCCTTAACAGTATATTAAATATTATAGAAGATGATGACTGGATAGTTACTGTATTCTTTTAGTAAATCATTTCTCTTTCCCTCAAAATCTATTTAATCTCTACTGTTATATGGGATCAAACAAAATAAGCACCTCTCTGGAAGGCAGTAGTAGGTAGTATTTAAAATCTCAGACCCAAGAGTCAGACAGGACTGAGTTTAAAAACCTGGTTCAGCCACTTATTAACAGGATGACGTTGACTGGACCAATCTTCTCTTATTAAATGGGCACCATAGTAGTAGCATCTATCCTTTAGGGTTTATGAGAATTAAACATTTAACTACAATCTGGCACACGGTGAGCAGTAGAGCTTGCTGGTTAAGAATGCAGCCTCCAGAACACAAGTACCTCGGTTGGAACTCTAGCTCTGCAGCTCACTGGCCGTTTGAGCTTGGGCAAATTGCTTAACCTCTCTGAGCCTTAATTTTCTCATCTACAAAATGCAGCTAATAATAGTACTTGCCCCTAGAAATTGTTAGGATTAAATGAGTCAATTCACATAAAGTGTTTAGAGTAGTGGCTGACACAAATTGACTGTCCAACGAATATTAGCTATATCTACACATCATTTGTAGTATTTTTTGTTACATATAGTTTCAGTCTTTGCTACAATTGTTTGGAAATGTATTGAAAATTTGCTTGAAGATCCCTCCTGGGCTAAATTCAAAGCAGTAAAATCACAGAATTTAATCTGGAAAAAAAAAAGAAAAGAAGTAAAGCATTTCCATACCACATTGTCTGTAGAAAAGACTTTCTACCCTACATGTTTACTAAAATCGTATTTCAGGGTGTTTTAAAGCTAAACAAAATGAGCATCACACTTTCTATTAAAAAGATATACTATATATAAATAACGCGTAGATACTTCTACAATTCAATCAACAGCAATTATTCAACACAGCCCTAAGGCGAATACTGGTTTTAAGTGCCCAGCAAAGTAGTACCACCCATTAGCAGGCCTCCTGCGAGCTGAGTCACTCCACGACCTCCAGCTGCTCAGCACAGCACTTAAAGGTTCTAGGGGATCGATAACCAGAACTCCTTGATTTTATCCGGAACATATTTTTTGGATCTTTATCTTTGGTATTAGGGCTCCCTCTGGCTGGTTTACTTCTATGTTGTTTTCTCCTTTGAGCTGGGAGTGGGGCAGGAACTGCCCTGGGACGTAGAGAGAGAGGGAAGTGGACACAGGTGAGCATTAATCCACCAGGAACACCCAGGCAATAACCCAATGAAAGGACACAGTATATGGGTGATGGGCATGGTCTGCTGAGACAAGGAGAACCAGGAAATGGTTAGAACTAACTTTACATCCCTGAAAGCAGGCTCCTGCCAAATCCCTGTAGAGGGGTGTGGGCCTGTGGGTCCTCTTGGGATTATGTTGTCCGTCATATTTTTTGTACTGTCACCATACAAAGGTCACTGATGGGGATTTGTTTCTCTATATAAAGCTTATTGATTTATAAGGAAAGAAACTGTTTTAGTCACTGTTTAAATTGCCAATGCCTCCCATTGCCTTGAACACAGGAAGTGCTGAATCAGAGTAAATTGAATAATTAAATTGGATTCTACACTACACCTGATGATACCTTGCCATCTTAACTTCACTTGGCACCTTATAGTTCTTGATTTTTGAACGGTGATATATTAAAAAGAAATTTCTACCAACGTTTAACTCATTCCATGAAAATTCTTATGCACTGGGGATGATGATGATGAATCAGATGTGATTCTGAAGGGAGAATCAGGTAGTTCTAATGGGAGATGGAGACATAAATTCAACTAACTTTAATGCAAGGCAGAAAGAAATCAGCTCTGTGATGGAACTTGAGCCATGATTCCAATCGGGCAAAAAGGAGATATAATTCATCTTAACCAAAAGAACCAAAAGGCTCCAGAGAATTTAAAATTAACATGTGCCCACAGGTCCTTATCTGCCCTTCACTGAGCATATGGGTGCCCTCTATACTTGCATCAACACTCTAGCCAGCTGTGCTAACTAGCCTCGATTATGTATGTATAATGCAGAGAATTGGATGTGTTCGTTAATTTAGTCTTTCAATGATTCAACAAGTATTTGTTGTTTGTTATGTGCTTGGCATAGAGCTAGGCAATGAGGCTTCACAAAGAAAATAGAGTTCTTGCTCAAGGAGATTATAGTCTGATGTAGAAAACACCAAAGTATAAGTTGGGAAAAATGTTATACATGAACATGAAAGGTTGTAAGGAGGTACCAATTAAATAATGCGTCAAAGGAGACTTCTCTGAGGAAATTCCACTTAAGGTAAACTTGATAAATAAAAATGGAAGTTAGCCAGATAAAGAGTGGAGGAGAGCACCCAGACAAAGTAAAAGCATGTGTGTATGAAGGCCCTAACATAGGAAAAAATTTTGATACCTTCTAGGAAGGTAGTTGTGGCTGGAGTTTAATGATAGAATAATGAATGACATGAAATGATATTGTCAAGGTAAGCAGGGTCCAGATCTTGAACAGCTTTGTTGACCATATTTAAATATTTGTTATTTTATTTCAAGTGCAATGGAAAGTTATTACAAAATTTTCAGTATGGGAGCAACACGATCAAAGCTGTTGTTTCAGAAGATCATTTGGCTACTGTGAGGAAAAGGCATTGAAGGGGGCAAGAGTGAGAGCCGAGACCAGTTAGGGGTCACTTGGAGAACGTAGAGAAAGGTGGATGGATTCAAGCAATATGTTGGAGATATAACTGATGCCACTTACTGCTAATCTAGTTGTGGGATATGTCCAAGGATGAGGCTCCATTTTCTAATTGAGCAATTCAATGGATTGTGGTGCCATTTGTGAGATGGGGAAGACTAAGGAGGAAACCTTGTGGGGAGAAGATTAGGAATTCACTTTTGGACATCTTGGGAAGCCTGTGATGCATCTGAAAAGGAAAACCCAAGGAGATAGAACTGGAAAACATCTGTCTGAAAACCACGTCAAATCAATATTCTGAATTTTCTTAATATTTCATCAAATTTCTGGAGTTGGGGAAATACCAGAATAATTGATGTTCTCACTTTTCATCAATAATCTTTGATATAAAAATCATGACTATGGCTACTTGAGCTATTTTGAACAGTTATATCACTTTTCATCAATAATCTTTGATATAAAAATCATGACTATGGCTACTTGAGCTATTTTGAACAGTTATAAGCATTTAGTATGTCTGTTTTATGGACATTATTAATGCCCAGACTGGTTTTGTTTGGGGATTGTTTTTGATTTTATTTGTTTTTACATGAGATACAAGATAAACAGTGTTATTCCTTCTTGTTAAGGGACTCCTTGAAAAAAATAATTTGTGGTAGAAGTAAATTTAGTTTTCCAATTCTCTACCATTATGTTTATTCCATCTATTTTCAAATTACTAATTCTGAGATGACCTTTGATGTATGTGATTCTCTATTTATAGCAGTGCTAATCTTCCCAATATTTAACTAGAATCATCTAACTGGTGATTTATGACCATGTATTTCAGTAATGAATATTTAGGTAATATGCACTACTGAATTAGAATGTCTTTTCTTAACAATATATGAAAATTTCCCTGACCTCACAGTTACAGATTTGGTCATTGCATGCAGCTGGGGTATCTGTGTGTGGGCAGTCAGTTGAGAAAAATATGGGTAATCATGTATAAGAAGTAGTGATTAGGCAAATCCATTTAGACTTGCCTGGCCACCAAAAATATTCGTGGGAAAAATCCGAAGTGCACATGTGGTTTCCCAGGAAACAGATTTACAATAAAACTTGTTCTAGTGACTTTCCCAAGAACACTCTAAGTCATAATTTCTAAGGAGCTACATAATTAAATGTGTGCAGACTATTCATTTCTGTGGCCTAAGCCAAAGAAGCCTAAACCTGTATGAGAAATGAGGTGGCTCTTTTTGAGATGTTATGTTGCTCAAGGATAATATTGCTAGTTTAAGGCAAGTTCTGACACTGAAACGTTCAGGCCATAGCTCTATTAGTACCCAAAGGTAGACTTGCTTGTGGCTTTATTTTAGTCACCTTATTTTTTAATAAACACTGAAAGAATGGTAAAGTCTATCTAGCAAAAAAATTCAGCAGTTCTCCTCTGTTATTTTTTAAAATGGTTTAAAACATCCTCTGTTTCAATGTCTTCATAGATAGATAGATTTGCAGTTATAGAGCTCTGTAACAATGCGAACTGAAAATGCAGTGAAGATTGTAGCTCTCAGCTTTGTCCAAGATGTAAAATTAACT